GCACGTGTGTACGCAGGTACATCTTATATACTCTTATTGGCCAAATTGTCGAATAAACAAACATGCTAGGGTATTTGAATTGAGCGGGACCGGGAAAAGTTTAAAACTCTCCCGGCCCGCCAGGTACCGCAGGCGGCTCAGGCGCCGCAGGTCGCAGAACGGCCTGGGGGTGACAGGTGAGGCCATCTGTCACACTAGCAGAAGCAGGCCGGTGTCCCCTACTGGAGGGGGTTATCTACCCGCCGTAGATGGCCTGAGGTGCGTCGGGTACAAGGGATTTCCTTCCTAGGATACATCTGGTTCCCCGGCTACTGGTGCTCGAGACGGCGTGCGGTTTTTAGTCCGGCATACCCACCGGTATCCGAGTAAAATTTGGCACAGAAAAAAAAAGTTATGTTACTTGATGTGATCAAAAATATAACTATAATCTTACTACTATTTGATCACATTAATTTATTTCAGTTCATATATTAAGAAATCAAATGTCACAAGTCATTTCAAGATTAAATAATAACTTTCGTGCATGTCTTGTCATGAATGTCATTTCATGAATTTTACCAGAAAGCACAAATCTACTTAGAATAATCTTTTTCTTGATATTATTTCTTTTCGACGTGATTCTAATTGTTCTTATGCTAAATTATCGAATACTGGATTTTTCCCGCGCCTTCTCCCACGTGTATGTCTTTTGTGGATCACACAAAGTGTCGACCCACAACACTTAGTGCATTAGTAAGCAGCGTGGCGACCGCTTAAATCACTACCTTATCCGTGCAATTTAAAAAAAAACTTTCACCAAGAGAAAGCTGCATTATCAGCAAATAACATAGGCTGCTTTTTACCGCGATAACCAACATACACGCCGTCGGAGCCGCGGCCAAACCTAGTAGATATACTATAAAATACAAACATAAAACAAATTCTCTTTATAATATTAATTAATAAAATTATGTTATTTACAGCAATCACATGCCTGGCGGGCTTTGATAGAGTTCTTGGAAATATATCTAATTTGACATTTTGCAGAAAGTTTATTCGAGCGTAAGTAGTGTAAGGAAGCTTTGATTATTCATTGCTTATATTACAGAAAGAGCTTAATTAACGGGGTGAAATTAATCTAAAATTTGGTTGAAATTATTAACTTAGTTAAAAATTGTTATCACGTTAACTAGAAAGCAGTTAAGCTAACGACTAAACTCGTAAAATTATCATTTGATTTATTTTGTCATATTATCATATATATACTACTATCATCATATATACGAGTCAAGTGATACTTATTACCAAAACTGAATTTTAAAATAAGAGGTTCTTAATTTTAATTACTTTAATTACAATTACAAGTCTTTTTACCATTAGTTTATTTTATCTTTGGTCGTATTCAGTACTAACCATATTAACTAATTACATCCATGCACAGAACAAATGATCGTACTCGTCAAACACTTATTTTTGTCCTGGGTGGCAATCGAACAGAAGACCTCTTGGTTAGCAGTGAGGGTGACTAACCACTAAACCAACAGGATCATCAATTTGATATGGTGTGCTTCCGATATTAAGTAACATAAATTCCTACTTAAGCCCATAAGGTTTTTTTTTGGGCTATTGTTCCTCCAATATCCACAACATGCAACATGTCTAAAGTAGGTTCTCTGCAAGTCTACGCGTAGTTTGGACAAGGTATATGCAGAATGATAACGTACCAATCACATACTCTAGAGTCATATCCCGTGAAAGTCAGACGAAGTCAGAAAATTCCCTCTTTCGATATTTCGATATTTTCCCTCTTTCGATTTCTACAACTGGCCTGAGTAAAGTTTGGTAAGTTAATTATTAAAACTATATTTTTATACTATGTTAGTTAATTGACCCCTTATTTTTTAGTAAAACCAAATTTAGTTAAAAAAACTGTATATCAAATACGCAAGGATTAGTAGCCTAAGTATCATTTAAAAAGTTAAAGAAAAACTTAAACTCGATTTACTGAGAACAATAGCAGAATACGGAGTGTCATCACCCCTATTCATCCCGTGGGTGTCCTAAGATCCGAATAAGGGAGCAAACTATGCAAGACAACGGCACTGCAAAGTAAAGAATACCTTAAAACAAACCGCATACCAACCCGTCTAGCCAGCGTGGTGTCATCATCATCATCAACAGCCTTTACTAGTCCACTGCTGGACATAGGCCTCTCCTTAGAAAGGAGGTTTTGGCCTACTATACCACGCTGGCCAGACGGGTTGGTATAGGGTTTGATTCAAGTTTTAATTCTCTCTGCAGTGGTGTTGTCCTGCGTAGTTTGCTTCCTTAGTCGCCTCTTACGACACCCACGGGATGAACAGGGGTGGTGACACTCTGTATTCTTAATCCGTCACCACACGGACAACGGCGTGGTGTAGTAGGCCAAAACTTCCATTCTAAGGTTAGGCATATGTCCAACAGTTAACCATTAAAGACTGTTTATGTGTAGATGATTACATATCTTATGACAGTTACTAAATAGAGGGCACGCTTTCAAGGCCGACATAACAATGCTACCATATAATGATGATTGCTCCCAGAGCACGATGTTTCACACACTGGCAGAATGCATATAAATGACCCCGATATTTTTGGGTTAATTTCGGGCCGTAAGAGTCAAACAGACCCTATTTGCGACCCAAGGGCATAATGATCCATTAGGATCTTCTACCCAGTCATTTAGAAAAGCAACACTTTTAAAAATCATAAGAGTACTAACTATAAAAACCATTACTGTGTTATTTAAAAGAAGTTTGTGCCTGGAAAAGACATAAAGTCGAACATTTACAGCATAAAAGTAATATCAATGCTATTCTTATATTGAATTATTCACTACTACGAGTACTAATCTCATATATTCACGATAGCTAACTAGCATAAAAGCGTTAATGTGATAAACAAGTGAATGCACAAGTTTTAATTGATATTTACATTCACTTTATATCGTATTGTATACTTAAAGTTATAAATATAGTTCCCGATAGCAGACACCAGCCAAAAGCCCTTCCTTTTGGTGTTCCGTAGGTTATAAATACATCAGTTTGTATCATGTATATCTTAGTGTATATATATATATATATATACAAACTAAGATACACACATATATATATATATATATATATATATATATATATATATATATATATATATATATATATATATATATATATATATATATATATATATAAATGTGTATCATAGTTTGTATGTATATCTGTCACACTATTTCTGTTCATTTCCTTAATTATTATTGTCTCGTTAACACAAAACACTTAATTTCTGGTGCACCAACTCAGTCATTTCTCGACCACCCAGGGTAGACTGGGAGAAAATGCCTGTGGCGTTAAGCCCGCCATTGTACAATGAATTGTTATTTGTGCAAAAAGAATTAAATGAATAAATAAATCTCATTCCTTCGACAGAAAGAATTGCTTAACACCGGTTTTCTGTGAGGCTTTGATATCACTCGGGTCGAGCCCATTTGTGACACACCTTAATTTTCCCACTTTAGAACTCTGGAGAAAACATCAAATATCCAAATTCTCTTCAACAAGATTTTCTTCAACAAGACCCCCCGCGGTAACATAATAGTCCACTTCTAATTAGCTTTAACACGGGACTTCACTCGAATAAAAATATTTTTTCATCCCTCGGGAACAATACTTCATTCTCGATTTTCCTATTGTCTTCCCTGGCAAAATGCATACATGATTTCCTTACAGCTCAGTAAGTAGTTAAGGCGTGAAACATCAAATAAAAAAATCACTCTCAAATTTGTAAATTATTCTCATTTTCTCTAAACTTTTGATTATACAAATAAGTCAAAATATATTTTAAGGATTATCTTCTATTTTTGTTGAATATTTTTTGGAACGAAGTAACATGCTCTGAGTGGATGGGAGCGAGACTGAAAAATGTGTATCAAGACTATTTTCCGACACTTCTTGCTATAGTTACAGCCGTATATGATTTTTTTTAAATTTTTATTTGTTATTAACTTAATTATCCCAGACCATTCAGTTTTTCATTTATCAGTATTTATTTCCTACATAGTAACAATACATTTTTTCATAACTTTTCAATTTAACTCTGTTACCTTGAATATAAATTATAATGACTGTCTTCCACCAAAAAGCGAAAGGGACCTCGTCCGGAAAGGTCCATAGATGACGTTTTTTTGTTGTCACATTTGTTTTGACGTGTCAATTTAACCACCTTTTTTGAAGAAATGACATAGAGATACGTCGCGCTCGGTCGGTCTAAAAAATTTGAAAACGAACAAAAAAAACGAAAATATAAAAGAAAATATTCCAAAACCTGATTGAAAGAAATAGCCTTTATTACTTTTTTTAGGGAAGAGGCGGCAGGCGGGTCACCTGATGGAAAGTGACTACCACCGTCCATGAACGCCCACAACTCAGGAGTCACAAACGCGTTTCCGGCCTTTTAGGAGGGAGTACGCTCTTTTCTTGAAGGTTTGAAGGTCGTATCGGTCCGGAAATACCGTAGACGATAACTTGTACTATTTTTGACTTTTAACTCTATTTATTTAACGTTATTGAAGTAAGTTGTAAAGCTTTAAAGTCAAGTCACTAACACATGTTAGCGACAGAAAACCTATTAACAAGCTCACCATCTACCAAAAAAAATATCATGAAAAGAAATCTGATCACTAGAAAGCTTTGATTATATTATTAAATTATGTAATTAAGACATTGTGTCTTAATCCTTCAAAACGTATTCTGGAAGAAAGTATACCCCTGATTGAGTCATAATTCTGTACCATTAATTAGCACACAAATATTCTACACTTTCGAGGGCGTGGTAGTTTTGGCGGTCGCCACGCCGCTTACTACTACAACGACACTTTGTGTATTGTATCCACAAATTTTTGTAAAGTTTTTGTAAAGACCCGCGACACAGGATATAACCACTTGGGTTGATAATATTGGGTCAATTTGATTAAAAGACTTTTGTAACTAACGTTGATATTTTTGATACTTTGCATTATGTTTTATTACTGTAAAACCCCTAAAATTTTCATTGTAACCACTCGGTCTTTGAGGGTAAACTTGTGGATTTTTTAGATATGCCGCAACATGCTCTTTATTCACATAAAAAAATGGTTGATTTTCCACTGGTAGTGAATCCAGCTGTTTCGCATATTCAGAGTTGCCATTCAGTTGCGCTGGAAGTGTTTCAAATCCCAAATCATCTTCAAATCCTGATTCAATAACGGGGTATCCGATTGGTCGATTTCCAGCAAAAGAAGGACGCTGGCAGTAACTTGGTACGATGACTAGAATTAAGACTAATGCTATTGAAGACATCGTAATCTAAAAAAAAACATTTTTTTGTTAGATTAATAATATTTCTCAAGAAAAAATCTCTCATCTTAATGAAATCTTAATAAATGGTAATACAATGTTAAGGAACGTAATTTTTTTAACAATGCTAGCCTTTCTTCGCATTATTTTGACTCGTTATTATCGTAGCACGATGTTCCCTATAATACAAAAGTAATAATTTAAAAAATCAAAGACCCTACTGCAATAATAATATGCACTAAAAAGACCGAAACAGCACGAGGTCCGACAAACATGGCCCATTTTTACGCTATCAAAAACCTTTAAACCAATTAATTATTCCTTATTTAATTTTAATATTCAACTTATATTTATTTTTGTAATCTCTTTATAATTTGGTTGGTTTTCTTGGTTTTGATACTCTACTCGATAGGTTTGGTTATTTTTTTTTATAAGCTAATGCTATTTTGAGCCAAAAATCCGCCATTTTTTTTTTCTTTCAAAAAGCGATCTAATTAAACTTCAGTTTTTGAGACGAATAAAACAATACTTTAAGTGTCGAAATCCATCACGCCATTTGGAAGATACCAGGTAATAAAAAAATTTCATCATCATCATCATCATCAACAGCCTTTAATAGTCCACTGCTGGACATAAGCCTCTCCTTAAAAAAAAAAAAAAATTACAAACAAACATCTACTGCTACGTATATCGTAACGCACGAAAAACATAACCCTTCCTTGGCAGTCGGGTCAAAATGACTTTTGAAATCCGTCTAGTAGTTCTGGTAGGTTAGCTCAACTAAATAAACAAACAAAATACTTATTCGACTTAATTGTATACTATGTGTTCACTATTTAACTCATTTTGTCCCAGTGTTGTGTATTTTATTAAGTTATTATTGTTGTCTTCTTTGCCATAAAATTATAAATTGACAAGTTCATTTTTATTTCTAAACGATTTCTACATTTAAAAAAAAAAGTATCTATCAATAGTTTAATTTAAATAAATATTATGGCATTGTATTTAGGGATAAACAGTAAGTTACGCCAAAGATCCCGTTTTTTATATGAATTATATTTTCACTTACTTTTTCAGCCAATATTTAAAATAATTACGTATAACTTTAAATAATACACAGTTGATACAGTTTACGACAAGTCAAGTGCATAGCACAGTTATCAGAACTGGAATGTTTGCGAGGATAATTTGCCAGCAATATATAGCACTTCAGTTTATGCATTTTATTTACAGTGTACTTTATCTATCAAATAACATGGGCCTATATAATGTTCCAGTATTTACTGTTAGTTAATTAGTAATACCTCTTTTAAAGTTACTCAAACTAATGTCATAAACGTGACTGTAACTCTTCTGTCAGTTTTTTTGTTCCTTTTACTACAATTTTTTCTAAGAACAAATACAACAAATACAAACAGTTCTTATATGTGAAGTACATATAAGAACTGTGTTAGATTAATTAGAACCGTCACAACTTGTATAGTTATATTAATTTGAAATTCCTAATACGAATCTCAAAACACGAGAGTTTACTTATATATTGCGTAAAACATAAAAAAGGAGTGTTGTCGTTCTCTCTTTTGTAACGTTTTTAAATCATTATAAGCTTTCCTTATACATTTTAAAGAGAAACACATGATATTCTTATTGAATTGTCATTTCAGTCAGAATCTCAATTCGACTCAGTCATCGCTAACAATTGCTGTAATTTTTATTTTTTTCATAAAATGTTTATAACAAAAATTACAGCAATTGTGTGTACTTTTTACTTACTATATAAAACAAAACAACTTTTGAGATTACTTAGGTTACTCCATTGATTTATCAACTGAGCTGAAAAACGTGAACTGCTGGACATAGGATTCCCCCGAGATTGCCACAACAACCTTTCCTGTACTGGCCGCATCCGACGGCTTCCAAGAAGACTTTTGTCTTGATACACTGCATTCGGACGACTAAGTGTCACACAGCTTCTCATTCACTGCCCAACCTAGTTGGATTTGATAATTGACCTCTTTTTCAAAGTTTAACCTACCTACCTAAATGGAGCGTTTACCTAACGTAGTCGTCAACACCTTCCCGTACCTGTAGAGTCTAAAATTTTTACTGGAGTAGGTGGTAGAGTAAGTAGGTTCCCCCTTATGACAGCGTCATTGAACAACAGTCTACCCCACAGGGGTACCAGCTGCGCTAGCGATTCTCCAAAATCGCCTGCTGGACGTCCACGCTCAGAACACCATACATCTGGGCGTGAATGTCTAGGCTGCCCCGCGTTTCTGGGGGGGGGGGGGGCACACCTGGGCTCAACAAGATACCTACCCACGTCAAGAGCAGGCACATCAGGTCACCCCCTCACCACGCTTGACGTGGACTTCTGTAACATCAGGGGTATACACTCTAACGTTAACGCTATCCACCACCACCTCGAGACAGTGAAGCCGGCCTTGCCCTTTTTAACCGAGACGCCGATATCATCTCTATCGGACATATCCTGCCTCTCCTACCCCGGCTATCACCTGGAACACTCCTTCGTTGCTAGGGCTTGAGTGTGCGTGCACTTTAGATATTACATCAGTTCTCATCGCCGCTGCAATCTTGAAGGACACGACCTCTCCATCTTGTAGCTCCGTGTAGACAGAGACGACTATCGGCGCGTCTATGCATGCCTCTACAGGTCCCATAGCGGTGATACCGAAACTGACCGACTGATGGACCACGTCCAAATGTTTTGCAGCAGATCCCATCCGCAGTGATCGTGATTCTTGGCGACTATAACGCTCACAGAGTACGGTGCCACTCATGTGATGATCCTAACGTCGTTGCCAATTCTGTCACTGATGTAGTGCTTCAGGGCATGGAAATATTTGTTCCATCTACTTTCATTCCCATCAGTGGCAATTAAATTATATAAATAATTGTATTATTATAATTTATTTGCTATTAGAGTTATTCTTTAACTTTATGATATGTTTTCTCTACAACTAATTGCATTCATAAATTGTTAGTAGCTGACTATAATTATCAATTAAGTTTGACGACTATAACACAATTTACATTTACGGTCGTCAACGATGAACTCTTATATCATGAAAAATGTTTGTTTTTATTAAATTTGTATTACCATATGAAATAAGAGAAAACTGTAAATGAAAGTGATTAATAAAGTATTATTATTACCCAAGCCTAGTTGCAAGAGATCCTGCAAAACGGCGCCCTACCGAAAACAGAAATGCTACCGAGCATGGGCTAATGCAGCGACGGTTATTGATGTAAACACCAGCACGCTAAAAAAGCAATACAGCTTTGCCTCTAGATTCCTCAAATCCAGGGCGAAATTGGAGCACATCAGCCGAATTTGTGCGAGACTGGTGAGACATCCTTCTGGAACTCGTGCATTCTGATCTCTCACCAAGGCTGTCCAAGGGAATTTCTGTTGCCAATCCCTTCCACCCCTGCAGATGGGCGATGATTCGTTGACCTATGATGCCAAGGAGAAAGCCGATCACCTAGGCGAATTATTTGCATCCCACTCGACTTTGGATGACGGGGAAAACATACCGCTGATCATACTGCGGTGCTCGAGCTGTATGCCGGGAATCCAGTTCACCCAAAAATCAGTGACTAAAGCACTCTTTTCCCTTGAAGTCCATAAGTCGAGTGGAGCCGATGGAATCTCCCTAAAGTTATGTTATACTTGGCCTAATGACTATGCCAGCTGGCTAATCAAAGTACTCGGGATAGATAAATCAGGCGTTGAACCGTAGCCTAGTACCGAAGAAAGAGTTTGTCGACCGGTCCAGCTGATCAGCTGCTGTACCGTAGCCTAATACACAGGGAGAGGTGTCAGGTGTGTGTTTAACTGACTGTTCTAATCGACCCAGCTGCTAAGCCTACGTATCGTAGTCAGAGTAGTAGTAAACCTCCGAGGACGATTTGAACGTGTTTAATGTCAAAAATGTTCCTTATTATATTCCAGATTTAGTCTAACAAGTTGCTCTCGATGAGTGAGTTTAAAGTTGTCCTTCTACTTGCTACGTCGACGTTATCGCTGTGTAAGTAAGCTTGAAATCGGCTTTATAACGTGCACATGTTTTATGCTCCACAGGTCATGTCGGCGCGGACGCCACAATCTCATTCGATTCCTTTAAGTACTATAACTTTAAGGATTTCCAACAAAAACTAATATATAATTACCTATTGTGCACTAATTAACTCTTATTGAAAGGGAAATTAGAAACAATTATTTTCAATATTAATTGCAAACAAAAAACCATCTCAAATTTATTTTACATTTTGCAGTTGAGTTGCGCTGGAAGCTATTCCTTCGAAATGGTTCTTATATGTCTGACATGGCCGTTAGATATTAGTGTAGATGCTGATGGGATACTTTAAGAAAATAAAATGGAAATGAAATACTCGTAGTATGTCACACTTATAATGGGAACGACTGAAAAGTACCTTGTGTATAAAGGTACTTGAGGCCTAGAAAATTGGTATAAAACACAAAACTTAGGTGACGAGGCGAAAGATAGGCATATTTAATATTTCTTGTCTGAGGAACAGCAGATTCCTATCTACAAGAGAGACTTGACTTCATCATCACATGCGAGTCTTTCACTGAAAAATATCCGCAATAGAAAGCGCCGCTTCAAATTATGCAAAACCGATTGTAAGTACACTGTTAGTTACGCTGCGCACATGCGCTGTGCATTCGTCTTGGATTTTCTTTATCAGTATAATTTATAGTAGAACGGTTCAATACTGTTTATAGGATACATACCTTTCACAATAAGAGCACATAAAAACATAAAGTCTGCCCACTGATTTTTTTTTTTTTACTTTATATGCTATTCATTTCTGAGATAGATTGACAACTTTATGCAGCTCAATTTTTAGCCACTTTTCCTTTATTACTCGTCAAATGCTTAATCACCGATGCTACTACTTAGCCTGAATCATCAGGATAACTCATTTTCAAGTATCTTGAAATTATTTATTAATGT